CATTCAATTATTTTTCTTAGAATGAGTTCTCAGATGGTTTGGATGAGATGAAACTGTCCCCCATATGTTCAAATTTAAATGCTTGGTCCAGAATTCATATAACTGGTAAGAATTTGGAGGCATGGGCTTATAGAAGTAACTATGGCCTTATTGGAGGAGGTATGTCACTGAGGGCTGACTTTGAAGAGTCAAAAGCCTATGATCCCCTTCTTGTCTTCCACTTCCCCTCCTTTTCTTCTCTCTTCTTCCCCCTCTCTCTTCCTGTTGCCTATGGATCAGGAAAGCTCTCAGCTACTGCTCCAGGACCATGTCTGTCTGCTTTCTGCCATAATGATCACGGACTAATCCTCTAAATGTCTAAGTAAGCCCCAAATTAAATGCTTAATTTTAGAATAGTTGTCTTAGTTATGGCGTCTCTTCACAGCAAAAACAAAACAAAAACTCAAAAAAACCCAAAAACAATAGCTAAGACACATGCTTAATTTGTGAAGTATTTTTCTGAACCTATTATAATGATCCATTGGCATTTTCTTCATAGTTTACTAATAAGAATTACAGTGTTTAGTATACAATGGTAAATTAATCTATATTTGCACATCTGTGTATGTACGTGTGCATGTGTGCACTTTGTGAATGTGCATATATGTGTAGATACATAGATACATATATGTGCTTGTGTGTTTGGAAATCAAGGGATAACTTCAGTTGCTACTCCTCAGTCATGTTTCATCTTTGGCCTGACACTTTACCAAGCTGGCTAGTATAGCTGGTCATCAAGCTCCAGGTATGCTTTTCAATCTTGCCTGGCCATCTCTGGGATGATGAGTATGCATCACCATACTTAATAGTTTACCTGGGATTTGGAAACCAAACCCAGGTTCTCATGGATCAAATGAGTCATATCCAGGTAACTAATCACCTATCATTTGTTGTATATATGATGGATTTAATTTACTAATATCTTAAGGAATCTTGTTTTCTGCTTATATAGTATATTAAAGTATATTTTAAGATCCTGCCTGATGGGTTCCCCATAATACCTAGCAGCCTTGAGATCTTCTCTGTCCCCTCCTCCCCTCCATACTTCCTCTTCCAGTTCACATGTTCATGTATCTACATATCTATACCTCTGCCTGCAATCTCAGAAACCTCCAGCCATCAGGGATCACTAGGTGAGACTCCTACCCCAATTCCCTCTCTGCCAGCCTCTCTGGGCAAATCCAGCAGCAGCAAGTTCTGCCCTGCCCCCTCTGCAATTCATTTCAGGAGACACACTCCACCTGCATCCTGTAACACCTGTGGTTACCCAGGAAAATCAGGTGATATCTCCAAAGCACCAAGCCCCTGCCTACAAGGTTCCCTGTCAAGCCCAGCAGCCATGAGGTCTGCTTATCCACTTGGTGTTCCATCTTCCAGTCCATACCTCTACCTGCAATTCCAGAGGCCTGCAATCATGAAAAACTACTAGCTCTGCCTGCATCCCTGGAGGTAATCTACCAGGGACAATTGTGGGGCAGTGGGCTATGAGAAAAGGCCAGAAAGCTTGGTAGAAAGCTCTGGAAGCCCCGGAAACCTTGGTCTGAAGAAGGCCAGTAGGACGGGAGGCCACTTCGAATTTTCCCTAAGTCATCTGGCTCTCTTAGCTTCCGCTCCCCACAGCCCCTCCCACGGAGAGGTCCATGGCCTTTGATCATGTAGGATCAGCACCTTCATGTAAATAAGACATTCCCAAGCTCTCAAATCAAGCTCTCAAATCAAGGGGTTACCTGCTCTCCCCCCAAAACTGTATATATTGCCCAAAGCTCAAAAGTAAAGTGGATGTGAGATCTTTCCCGCTGTCGGAGACCATTGTCGTGGTTCCTCCCCAGTCGGTGGCTAGTCTGCGCACTTCAAAGAGCTACCACACTTCTCCCCTCCAGCTCCGCCTCGGAGACACTGAGACGGGGTTTGGAGCAGTTTGGGCAGAGCAACAACAAGCTGTAACACTTTTCCCTCCCCGCCACTGAGGCACTCCAGGGCTGCCCTCAGAGAGAGGAAACCAAAAGAGCTGTAACACTCGCCCACCTTTGGAGGCTAGAGCAGAAGCGGACCCTCCAGTCTGCTCCCCGCCCTCTCGGGCCCAGCCATCTGAGGCTGCTGTAACCACGGTTTGAACAGCGGGCTGTACTCCAGCTCGCGGCCGCCCCGCCCACACGCCCCAAGCGAACATTACCCAACAGACAATTAACTCTCTCTGCAGTCCCATAGTCCCATCAGGGACTACCAGGCTTGCCAAAACTAAAGAAAACCAGATGGCTAAAGGCCAGTGTAAGAACACAAACCTAGGACAATATGACATCACCAGAACCCAGCTATCCTACTATAGCAAGCCCTGGAAATCCTAACACATCTGAATTTCAAAAAATGACCCTAAATCTAATTTCATGAGGATGATAGAGGCCTCTAAAAAGAAAATGAATAAATATAAAGAAATAGAGGAAAATACAATCATATAGATGAAAGAAATGAATAAAATTGTTTATGTGGAACATTTTTCCTGAATGTGAAAACAGATGCAATAAAGAAAATACATACTCAGGCAATCAATCTTGGAGATGGAAAACCTAGGAAAGAGAACAGGAACTACAGAATCAAGCATCCCCAACAGAATACAAGAGATGGAACAGAGAATCTGCGACACTATGAAAAGACCAAACCTAAGGATAATAGGAATAGAAGAAGGAGAAGATTCCCAGCTACAAGGCCTAGAAAATATTTTCCCCAACCCAAAGAAAGATATACCTATATACATACAAGAAGCTTACAGAACACCAAATAGATTGGACCAGAAAAGAAATTTCTCCGGCCACATAGTAATCAAAATATTAAATGTACAAAGAAAGAAAGAATACTAAAAGCCTAACAGGATAAAGGCCAAGTAACATATAAAGGTAGACTTATCAAAAATACACACGATTTCTCAATAGAGACTTTAAAAGCCAGAAGGGCCTGGGTAGATGTCTTTTAGATGTCTCTAAAAGACCATAGGTTCCAGTCCAGACTACTATACTCAGAAAAACTTTCAATTACCATAGATAGAGGAAACAAGACATTCCATGACAAAACCAAACCTAAACACTATCTTTTCACTAATCCATCCCTACAGAGGATACTTGGAAAAAACAAAATCAAAAACAAACAAAACAAAAGCAAAAACAAAAATGTCCAACTCCAACACAAGGGAAGTAACTACAGCCAAGAAATAACAAGAAATAGATAATTCCACACTAGTAGAACCAAAAGAACACACACACACACATACACACACACAAACACATACACATACTGTACCACCACCAACATCAAAATAACAGGAATTAAAAATAATTGGCCATTAATATCTCTCAATATCAATGGATTCAATTCAATAATAAAAATACACAGGATAATAGAACTGCACACAATAAACACATCTTAGCAACAAAATGTTACTTCAGAGTAAAGGGTTGGAAAAAAAGGTTTTCAAATCAAATGGACCCAAGAAACAAGTTGGAGTAGCCATTCTAATATGTAATAAAATAAACTTTCAACCAAAAGCAATCAAAAGAGATGGGGAAGGGTATTTCATACTCATCAAAGGAGAAATCCACCAAGATTGTGTCTCAATTCTGAACATCTATGCCCCAAATGCAAGGGCACTCACATTTGTTAAAGAACCATTACCAAAGGTTAAATCACACATTGAACATCACACATTAATAGTTGGAGACTTAAACACCCCAGTCTCACCAATGGACAGGTCAGTGAGACAGAAACTAAATAGAGAAATAATGAAACTAACCAATATCATGAATCAAAAGGACCTAACAGACCTCTACAGAACATTTCACCCAAACACAAAAGAATATACTATCTTTTTAGTATCACATGAAACCTTCTCCAAAATTGACCTTATAGCTGGGTCACAAAGCAAGCCTTAACAGATACAAGAAAATTGAAATAACTCCTTGTATTCTCTCAGATCACCATGGATTAAAACTGGACTTCAATGACAACAGAAACTACAGAAAGCCTACAAACTCATGGAAACTGAACAACTCTTTACTCAGTGATCACTTGGTCATGGAAGAAATAAAGGAATTAAAGACTTTCTAAAATTGAATGAAAATGAAGGCACATACTCTTCAAGATAGCACTTAAAGTTCTAGCTAGAGCAGCTAAAGTAGATCAAGGAGATACATGTTGGAAAGGAAAAAACAACAACAAAGTATCACTATTCAAATCTCAAGTACAAGTTTATCAAAGACCTCAATGGAATACTCAATACACTAAATCTAATAGAACAGAAAGTAGAGAATAGCATTGAACGCACTGATACAGGAGAAAACTTTCTGACCAGCACACCTATAGTACAGCCACTAAGATAAAAAACTAATAAATTGGACCTCATGAAACTGAAATGCTTCTGTAAAGCAAAAGATGCCATCAATAAGACTCAAATGGCATCCTATAGAATGGGAAAAGATCTTCAGTAAACCTACATCCAACAGAGGGCTATTATCCAAAATATTTAAAGAACTCAAGAAGTTAGACACCAACAACCCAAATAGCCCAATTAAAAATGGTGTACAGAGCAAAACAGAATTTGCAACAGAGGAACCTCTAAGGGGCAGGAGCATCTCTAGGAGGTGCCAGAGACCTGGGACAGGGTTTCTATGGAAATGACTCTAGCTGAGACACATAGCAGTGGAGGATATGGAACCTGAGTAGTCAGGCAGGACTCCCAGTGGAGGAATAAGGACACCAACCCACACACAAAACTTTGACCCAAAATGTGCCCTGCCTACAAGATGTCCAGGGACAAAGATAGAACTGAGTTGGAGAGAATGGTCAACCAATGACTGGCTCAACTTGAGACTCATCCCGTGGACAAGAAACAATTCCTGACACTGCTAGTGATACTCTGTTATGCTTGCAAACAGGAGCTTAGCATAACTGTTCTCTGAGAGCTCTGAGACCTAGTACCAAAATTCTTTATTTGAAGAAATGGTACAAATTAAAAGAACTTAAGCAGATGTTTTGGTGCAACTTATAGAAAAGATAAAGGCAGCCTGACATGCATGCACTGCCTCAGTGACCAGTGAAGTCATATGGCTTTGGGGAAGTCAGCTTAGCTTTCATCACTGTGTCCCAGGTGTGCTTGTCAAAGAGATATTCTGCCATGCCAGATTCAGGGACTCCCATTTTGCGTAAGTTGGTCACATGGTCACCCAGTTCTTTAATGGATTTCACCTGTTCATTCAGGTAATGCGTCTCAATGAAGTCACATATGTGGGAATCATTCTTGTCAGTAGCCAGTTTGTGCAGTTCCAGTAGTGACTGATTCACACTCTTTTCCAAGTCCAGTGCACACTCCATTGTATTCAACCCGCTCTCCCAGTCATCACGGTCTGGTTTCTTTGTATCCTGACGGAAGATGCGGCCACCTCGCTCGTTCTGCAGCTTCATCAGTTTCTCAGAATGTTCCCTCTCCTCATGAGATTGGTGGAGAAAGTATTTGGCAAAGTTCTTCAGAGCCACATCATCCCAGTCAAAATAACAAGACATACACAGATAGACGTAGGAGGCATACAACTCCAGGTTGATCTGGCGGTTGATGGCAGCCTCCGAGTCCTGGTGGTAGTTCTGGCGCACTTGCGAGTTCTCTGAGAGTTCTCTGAAACCTAGCAGCTGATGGAAACAAATGCAGAGACACACAGCCCCACATTAGACAGAGCTCTGGGAGACTTGTGGAAGAGCTGGAGGAAGAATTGAGGGATCTGAGGAGATAAGACTCCACAAGAAAACTAACAGAATCGTCTAAACTGGAGACCCAATGTTATCAGCATTTTTTGTCTTTTGAATTCTTTGGAGAATGGTTCATTAAGTTCTTCTTGCAGTATTTTAGGACATCCTTAATCTACCCTTGCAAACTCTCCCAGATTCTTTCCACAAAGCATTTCCAAAGGCTGATGAAGTACACAGTCAGTTAAATCATAGTAGTGACTTCGCTGTCAGGTATTGCTTTTCTGTGTTGGCTGTTTTTCTCTATCCTGGTGACTAAATGGCTAATATAAAGAAATGTATGTTTTGGGTCACAGAGTCATGTCAAGAAATCCCAAAAGCTGAAGCTGCTTGGCCTGTGGCCATGGGAGCTTGGTGTGTCTTGTTCATATTGTGCCCCGCCTGTCCACTTATTCTAACTATACCTCATACCCAAAGACGCTACAATCTTTAAAAAAACAGCAGCACAACCTGAGTATTAAGTATCTAAAATGAGAGCCTGTGATGAATATTTCACATTCAAACCATGACAGACTCTATTTTCTTCCATGGTCTATGAGTCTGTTTTACATCAGTACCATAACGTTTTGACTAACAGCAGCTGTAGCCAGGTCAGCCTTGGTGAATGGAAGTCCATGTTGTTGAGCCCAAGCATAACCCCAATCTGTGCCACCATGATCACTTTGTTCAATGACAGGAATGACTGGGAAAAGCCTACTGTCCACAGAATGGGTCATCTTATCCACTTAATTATTGAACTCTTCCTCAGCTGAAATCACCTTTTAATGAGCATTTACATGGTACATAAATATCTTCACATCCATTGCACATTTGGAGAGATCTATCCACATACTACTTCCCCAGATGTCTTCAATTTCTCTATCGTGATCTTTCCAAATCCCTGACAATCTAGCCAATCTATTGGCTATAGCCTATGAGTCAGTGAACAATCATACATCTGGCCATTTCTTCTTCCAAACAAACTGTAATACTTTGTGTACTGCCTGAAGTTCTCCCACTGTGAAGATTTCTCTTCACTTGTATCATTCACTGTTGTCCCAGAAAGGGGTTGTAGTGCTACAGCTATCCACTTCTGGGTGATGTTTGCATAATGTGCAGAACCATCAGTAATCCAGATTCTAGTCTTCTCTTAACAATCACAGGGAACACCTCAAGAGGCTATTCCTGGCTGAAGATGGCATTGTAACAGAAATAGAAACCATAGGCATTTGGGCAATTTCTTCATGTAACCTGCTTGTGCCTTCAGGAACTGCTGGGGCCCGATCACATGTATGCCACTTCCATGTAGTAATAGACTGCTGCTGTGCACATTCTGCTTTCACTTGCTGTACTCAATAACACCTAGGTTATGATGGGCAGTTTAGGTCACATGATAACTTGGTGTCCTATTGGCAAACATTCAGTTTCTACTAAGGCCCAATAGCAGGCCAATAGCTATTTTTCAAAGAGAGGTTAGTTGTCTGCAGATGATCGTAGAGCTTTGCTCCAAACCCCCAAAGATGTCTTCTGTGATTCACCTATAGTGGCCTGCCAAAAGCTCCAAACAGCATCTCTGTTCCAGACCTATACAAAGCTTGCATTTTTCTGAGTCACTTGGTAAATGGGCCTGAGTAACACACCCAGGAGAGAAATGTGCTGTCTCCAGAATAGACCCACTAAAAGCTAAACTTCTTTCTTTGTAGTGGAATGGGCCATGTGCAATAACTTAACTTTCACCTTAGAAGGAATACCTCTGCATGCCCCCATACCACTAAACTCCTAAGAATTTTACTGCATAGATGGTCCTTGAATTTTGGTTGGATTAATTTCCTGTCCTCTCATACACACATGTGTTACCAGTGAGTCCAAAGTGATTGCTACCTTCGGCTCACTTGATCCAATCAGCATAATGTCATCAATATATCACCAATGTGATATTTTTGTGGAAGAGACAATCAAGATCCCTTCTAACTGCCATAGTGCAGAAGAGCTAATATATCCTTGAGGCTAAACTGGAAAGGTATGCTACTGGCCTTGCCAACTGAAAGCAAATTGCTTCTGGTGGTCCTTATAGACAGGTGCTGAGAAGAAGGCATTTGCTAGATCAATAGTAGCTGCATACCAGGTACTGGAGATGTGTTAATTTGCTCACGTAATAAAACCATATCTAGTACAGCAGCTGCAATTGGAGTTGCTACATGATTTAGTTTTTGATAGTCAACTGCCTGTCTTCTGCACTGACCAGATAGGAAAGTTAAAGGGAGATGTGGTGGGAACCACACACACCCCTGCATCTTTCAAGTCCTTGATGGCTGCACTAATTCCTGCAATTCCTTCAGGAATGCAATACAGTTTTTGATTCACTATTTTCTTCGGCAGAGGCAACTCTAAAGACTTCCATTTAGCTTTTTCAACCACAGTAGCTCTCACTCCACAGGTCAGGGAAGTCTGCCAACTTTTAAGTAATCTGTCCCAATCATAAGTTCTGGAAGTGGGGAAATGACCACAGGATGAGTCCGGAGACCTACTGGACCTACTTTGAGTTGAATATCAGTCAAAACTCCATTAATCACCTGCTATGCATAAGCCCCTACTTTACTGGAGGGCCACAATGTTTCTTGGGATCTCCTGGGATCAGCATCAGTTCAGAATCAGTATCCAAAAGACCCCAGAAAGTCTGATTATTTCCTTTCCTGCATTGTATGGTTACCTTGTAAAAGGCCACAGGTCCTCTGGGGAACAACTGGAGAAAGGCTAACAGCAAAACTTTGAGGTGTCTTATCAAGGTCCTTCCCAAGGAGAACCTGGCCACCCCTTCATTTAAGGGGTTCTGGGTCTGCAAACTGATTCAAGTCTGGAAATTGAGTCACTGGCTGAGATTGCCTTAGTCCAATGTAGCCTTTTTTTTTTCATTTATTTGAGTTTTTTTTCTGCTTATACAGATCAAACAGAAATGCTGTAGGCTTTCTATCTATTTCATTCCTATCTATTTCATGCCTGGAAACACCATGACTCATTAGCCAGTACCAAAGGTCCATACAAGTCATGCTGTTATAAATTTCACCTCTCCTGTGCTGACCATTATGAGACAGGTCACGATGAGCATTGTTTTGTCTATGCTGCCCATTATCATAACTATATCACCTTGCCTCTGGCAATCCAGTGCTGTCACCTGGCCCTTGCTTCTTTGGGGCCTAATTAAACACATTGCATTTAATTTATCCAACTGAACAGCAGCAATCCAACCCTAAGGTCTAGGAAGGAAAAGGGCAAGAACAAAACTCTTCAAATGTGCCCCTCTCACCAGTTTGTGTCTTACAGGATTCAGGAAGAGCATGTCTTCTGGGCCTTCCCATTGTGGAGGATTAGGTTTTACACAGTGTATCTACTCAAGCATCGCAATTTCCCTGAGCCTTAAAATCCCTTCATCAACACTAAGCCAAGGGATATTAGGCATCTTCAATTCCTTTTCAGTAGGCCATCTTTTGATAAATGCTTTAGCCAACCATTCAAACAAATTTCTGTCATTTTTTTTTAAACTGTGCAAGCTTCCATATTAAACCTAGAATCTCCACTCAGAGGGTCCATGTCAATAAACTCAGCCTGATCTATTTTTATGTTCCTTCCACCATTAACCAAAACCCTTAAAGTCCACTCCCACACATAATCTCCAGACTTCCGCTTTAATGAATTAGAAAACTCACTAAGCCCCTTAGTAGTGTAGTGAATTTCCTCATGGACTACACTTTCTACCTCCTCTCTAGGGAACTGCTTTGCCTTGAGTCTGGTTCTAGGTCTAGAAGAAACTATAGGTGGGTCTTGAAGAATATCAGTATTGTCTAGTCCTGCAGTCTCCTCAGAGAAAGTCACTGCTGGCTTATCAGACGATGAAGGATTAATTTCCTCATGTGAAAAAGGCATTATTTCAAGGGATGGGGCTGAGGGTGCTACTTCCTCAAGTCAGATAAACCCTTGAGAATCTGAGGATTCAAAGTTCTCTGCTTCAACAGGGTCCTCCCACATATCCCTATGTCAAGCTAGCGGATCCATTCTTTGCCAACTAATGCTGTTACTTTAACTACTGACGCCCTCCGAGGCCGAGACTTGAATTTTTGCTTTAATTTGACCAGTCTTTATATGAAGACTTGTTTTATTTTCTGTGACTTGAGCTCCATGGCTGCTGGAGAGAAGACTCTCTTCAAGGACACACTTAGAAACCTTGCTTATTTGCACCTAAAACGGTTCAGTTTTATCATACAGATCATTTCTTTACTTTATCAATTTGTTCAGAGATACTAAGAGCAATAAGCCAACAAAATCATTTTGCTTATTTTCTCCCAAACTGTGAAAAATTTCATATACTGGGTCACAATTGATGGTTCAAGATAATCAAAGACATTTGCTTCTTTAATTTGGAAATACAGTTTCGACCACAGGCCTACAATATTCTCCGAGCTCCCAGGAAAGAGAATGTCTGGAGAGGTTTCTTCTTTTTTAATTTTTTATTCTTTAATCCTTTTTTACAGTCCGGTCTTCATCCTCCTCCCAGTCTGCCCCCGGGACTGCACCCCATACCATACCTCTCCCTCATTTCCAAGAGGATGACCCCACCCCACCCCCAGCCCACCAGACCTCCCCATTCCTGGTGGTCTCAAATCTCTCGAGGGTTAGGTGCATCTTCTCTCACTGAGGCCAGACCAGGCAGTCCTCTGCTGTGTATGTTTTGGGGGCCTCATATCAGCTGATGTATGCTGCCTGACTGGTGGTCCAGTGTCTGAGAGATCTCGGGGGACCAGGTTAGTTGAGACTGCTGGTCCTCCTACAGGGTGACCCTCCTCTTCATCTTCTTCCAGCTTTTCCCTAGTTCAACCACAGGGGTACCAGGCTTCTGTCAATTGATTGGGTGTAAGTACCTGCATCTGACTCTTTCAGCTGCTTGTTGGGCCTCTCGGAGGGCAGCCATGCTAGGCTTCTTGTCTGCAAGAGCACCACAGCATCAATAACTGTCATGCCCCTGGACGTCTTCTTGAGCTGGATCCCAATTTGGGCCTGCCACTGGACCTCCTTTCTTTCATGCTCTTCTCCATTTTTGTCCCTGCAGTTAGTTTCTTTAGACAGGAATAATTCTGAGTCAGAGCATTTGACTGTGGGATGGAAACCCCATCCCTCCACTTGATGTCCTGTCCCTGCACTTGAGGTGGACTGTACAAGTTCCCCTTTCCCACTGTAGACCACTTCATCTAAGGTCCCTCCCTTTGAGTCCTGAGAGTTTCTTGCTCCTAGGTCTCTATATATCCTAGAGCCCCCCCCCCCCACCTCGTACTTCCTGAGATTGCCTATTTCCATTTTATCTGCTGGCCCTCAGGGCTTCAATCCTGTTTCCCCCAATACCTGATCATGTTCCCCCTTCTCCTCTCTGCCCCCTTCCCCACCCAGGTCCCTCACTCCCTCTGCAGCTCCCCCACCCCGCACTGTGATTGTTGTATTCTCCCTCCCAAGTGAGACTGAGATATCTTTACTTGGTTGGGCCTTTCAGCTTGTTAACCTTTT